AGGTTAATGATTTAATTGGCGAGAAATCCATCATCGCAAACAATTCAAATAATATACAAAAACCTCCGAATCCGTTATGAATGAAATGATCCTTGTTTATATAAATTAGTTCTTATTTTTACTACAAGCTTTCGTCTGTTCCTACAGACATCTTCAGGTATAGAATAGATGTTGTTCTTGTTAACTCATTTCCAATAGCATTTTCGGATTTTCGGATATTTTCGTTGTCCTCTTATTACTAAGAGAAAAAAAGAATTGTCGCTTAGATGCGAATTATAAATTGTCTTTTACACCGCTTTGAATATACGCTCTTTTAGCGCTAGAGGACGTCGTCAGTCATGTTCTTGAGATGGATCATCGGGCAGTTTCGGGTCTTTCAAACATCAGTGTTGATTTATTATCCAATGAATGCTTGTTGTTGTATAATTTGAATTTGCGTAAGTATGTATGTGTGTGTGTGATGATGATCCTCCTTACAAGTCTACACGTTACAAAGATTTTGTTAGTTTTAAAGTTGACCTTTGCTAAACTAAAACCATTGCTTTTCTCCTACCTATTTCAGCTGTTGTCTCATCTTTTACTTTTTGGTTTGTGAGGTCAGTATAATTATCGATCCCGTAAAACGTCAAACAACTAGAGGAAAGAAAAGCAATTAAAGATATCAGCTTTGGGCTTAGTCGAAAGAAAAACAATAACTATATCAAAAACTCGACCTTTGTCGAAACGAAATTAGAAAGAAAGCTAGGCGTTTAGTCTACAGAGGAAAGGTTTCAGTAAAAACAGAAAACGACGTAAACAATTTTAAATAAAAACGCGCACGTCTATAAAAAGGTCAAAAAAGACGAAATAGATCGCTGAAAAAAAAAATGAAAAAGAAACAGGTATAAAAAGAACTTTGAAAAAAATAAACAATAAATGCTCGTCCTTATTCGAGCAAAACAACGAAAAAACATTAAAACGGAAATAGTAAATAAAATTAGAAGATTAAACAATAAACAAAAAAGGTGTATTAAAAATAAAAAGTAGTTTTGTGTAACTGTAAAGGACCCTGTGTGTATTTACGTGTTGTCGTATTAGAAACATGTGTGTAACTCCTGGTAGAATATTAAAAGGTTCAACTACATGAAAATTAGCGGACTTAATTTGTCCAACCGAAAATGAAAGAAAACAAACAAGACAGATATAAATATATATATATATATATGTCAACAAATATGTATTAAACAAATTACAAGGTACATAGACATAACATTTGTGTGTGTGTGGGTACATTTGTGTTTGTTCTTTAGTGAATGTTCGCATTTTGGTCAATGTTTGTAATGTTCATAGCGTTTTCCCAGAAATGGGAAACGCTGATCTTCTAAGAGCTTACATCTTGTCGCTGAAATGAAGAAGAAAGAGTGATTTACCTCACCACTACGTGAGGTGGGATTCAGCACGAGGCCTGAAGGAAAAAGAGAAAGAGGCAAGAAGTTTCCCAGTATTTATAGTATGGGGAGAGAGACCCCTGATGAAGAATTAGAGAACTAAGGAGGAGGTAACTCCGACATAACTGCCATGAGAAGACAAATAAAAATATCGCTTAATAAGCTGAGAAGGGGTTAAAAAGAAATAAAATGAAAACAAAAAAGCCACATATTCACACAGTCGTAATTCAAAACTTAAAGCGTATAAAAACAATAACTTTAAAAAGTTCAGTTTTCAAAGTCTTGCAAATGCAAACTTGACAGTAGCGACCGAAAAAACGTCTGTCACTGGTCAAAAATAAATACGAACTGACCTTCTATAAAAGTGCCATAGAGAAACATGTATCAGAATAATTACCATGGAATTATTTATAGAAAAAGCACAGGGAATCTAAATTAAGGCGATTGGAAAGAAACGGAAGGCGAGATGCAAGGCCTGGATCAATAACATTGCAGATTTTTCTTTGGATTTAATCAAGAATCTCTAAATATATAGCAGTAGCCGAAGACCAGATGTGGCAATAGCATTCAAAGAAAGGACGAATGACACACTTGTAGATATATATATATATGTAAATTGTAGATATATAAATATGTATGTCAGGATAGAAGACTTGTTTATATATTTATGATTCACATACAAATACAAAAGAAAATAATTCACTTGTAATCCCCTATGAGGCTAACCATCACTTTGATCATCTATGTGAGTAGATGTGCGCATATTTCTCTTCTTTTTACACTGAGGATCACCCAGGTGTTGATAAGCCGTAAAAAGCAAATAGATCAATCAACCAATCAAATGTTTTCGATATACATACGAATACAGAGAAAACTGAAGCCAATTCACTTGTAATCATCTATGAGGCTAACAATCGCTCTGATTATCCATGTGAGTAAAAATAGATAAAACTTTCAGAAACAGTCGATAGTTGCCTTAGCTCAAAATCACAAGACACCGTGATCGAGGTTTTAAGTGTATCGATATTTTCAAAATCTGATCATGCCATGTTATGCAATTTGTCAACCAATAACTGTAACTAAATTCTGTCATCCAAAAACTGTAACTAAATTCCATTCAGCTTGGTTGCTGTATATTCCACAAATTGACTCTGTGGATGTTGAATAAACAGAAAAATGACTGAGAAGGCCGCTGCAACAGTGAATAGCGAACTCAGAAATATAAACGAACCCACTAACAAATAATTGTTAACTGAACGTCAGGACGTTGCGAGAGCCATAAACTCTTCAAGACTCCAAATTCTTTTTGTATGTCTCGCGTCCATTCAGGACATAGGCGACCATGGCTCTACATAACTTTCTATCACGTGTCGCTCTTAACAGTTTTCTCCCTTTGCTAAGGATATCCCTTCGCAGAAGCTCGTCCGGTATGTAGCTCACTTCTTTCATTTATCTCTCTTACTCTTATCTCTTATCATTATTCAAGTTGTCATTCAAAAAGTGTAACTAAATTCTATCATCCAAAATCTGTAACTAAATTCTGTCATTCAAAAGCTGTAACTAAATTCTGTCATCCAAAACCTGTAACTAAATTCTGTCAACCAAAAACTGTAACTAAATTCTGTCATCCAAAAGCTGTAACTAAATTCTGTCTTCCAAAAACTGTAACTAAATTCTGTCATCCAAAAACTGTAACTAAATTCTGTCATCCAAAAACTGTAACTAAATTCTATCATCCAAAAAGTGTAACTAAATTCTATCATCCAAAAAGTGTAACTAAATTCTATCTACCAAAATCTGTAACTAAATTCTGTCATTCAAAAACTGTAACTAAATTCTGTCAACCAAAAACTGTAACTAAATTCTGTCATTGAAAAACTGTAACTAAATTCTGTCAGCCAAAAAGTGTAACTAAATTCATACTTCGAAAATCTGTAACTAAATTCTGTCATCCAAAAACTGTAACTAAATTCATACTTCGAAAATCTGTAACTAAATTCTGTCAACCAAAAACTGTAACTAAATTCTGTCAACCAAAAACTGTAACTAAATTCTATCATCCAAAAGTGTAACTAAATTCTATCATCCAAAAGATATAACTAAATTCTATCTTCCAAAATTGTAACTAAATTCTGTCATTCAAAAGCTGTAACATTATTCTGTCATCCAAAAACTGTAACTAAATTCTGTCAACCAAAAACTGTAACTAAATTCTGTCATTGAAAAACTGTAACTAAATTCTGTCAGCCAAAAAGTGTAACTAAATTCTGTCTTGAAAATCTGTAACTAAATTCTGTCATCCAAAAAGTGTAACTAAATTCATACTTCGAAAATCTGTAACTAAATTCTGTCAACCAAAAACTGTAACTAAATTCTGTCAACCAAAAACTGTAACTAAATTCTATCATCCAAAAAGTGTAACTAAATTCTATCATCCAAAAAGTGTAACTAAATTCTATCTTCCAAAATCTGTAACTAAATTCTGTCATCCAAAAGCTGTAACTAAATTCTGTCATCCAAAAACAGTAACTAAATTCTGTCAACCAAAAACTGTAACTAAATTCTGTCAACCAAAAACTGTAACTAAATTCTGTCAACCAAAACTGTAACTAAATTCTGTCAACCAAAAAGTGTAACTAAATTCATACTTCGAAAATCTGTAACTAAATTCTGTCAACCAAAAACTAACTAAATTCTATCATCCAAAATGTGTAACTAAATTCTATCATCCAAAAGCTGTAATTAAATTCTATCATCCAAAAGCTGTAACTAAAATATGTAAACCAAAAACTGTAAGTAAATTCTGTCATCCAAAAACAGTAACTAAATTCCGTTCAGCTTGGTTGCTGTATAACCCACAAATTGACTTTGTGGATGTTGAATAAACAGAAAAGTGACTGAGAAGGTTCCTGCAACAGTTAATAGCGAACTCAGAAATATAATAAAAGTATTGAATACATAATGAAATCGGATTCGTGTATAGGTGTCGCCATACGATTTATTTCTTGAATATCAAAGAAGGAACTAAAAAAAGAAATCGTATTTAATTTCACCGACACCCTGCCGTCTCAGGCCTATTTTTTCATGGTATCTTCCACAAATCCGATACATTTTATTTGTTCACAGGCAACTCACCGCCAGTAACCTCTTCTTTCTATTTCCCATACATTGAATGAAATGAAAAAAAGAAAATCTCCACCGGTACTAACATCCCAATCCTCCCCTCTGCGCGACCCAGACGTCTCTATCATCTCCCTGTTGATAACAAGATGGTCTTGTCAGCTATGATAAGAAGAAGCGCGTGTGCCGTGTCATTAAATGATTTTTTATTTATCTTTTTCTTTATTTTATTCTATTTATTTAGTTTTCTTTATTTTATGTTTTAGTTTTTTGATTTTTGTTTTGAGGCGGCTCGGTCCCTAGACCACCCCCGTCTGATACCCTTCCCATGATTCCTTTAAGGATCGTTTAACGCCAGAGAAAGAAATCTTTTCTCTTCTTTGGGTTGGCGAGAGGAAAAAAAATGACTAAACCTTCTTTCCTATATCTGTCTACACTTTTCATAATGTTTTGCTAAGATTTATTGAGATAGATATATAGATAGATAGATAGATAGATAGATAGATAGATAGATAGATAGATGTGAATAAACTGAGGTAGATAGACAGTTATCTAGATAGCTAGCTACCCAGATCGATAGATATGAACAAACTGATATATCTAGCTAGCTAGTTAGCTAGCTAGCTAGATAGATAGATACGAACAAACTGACATAGATAGATAGATAGATAGATAGATAGATAGATAGATAGATAGATAGATATAAACAGACTAATAGATAGATAAATAGATAGATAAATATGAACAGACTAAAATAGATAGATATGAAGAGACTGATATAGATAGATAGACACATAGATATGAACAAACTGATAGATAGATAGATAGATAGATAGATAGATAGATAGATAGATAGATAGATAGACATACTGGCATAGATAACTAGGTAGGTCGGTAGGTAGATAGATAGATAGAGACGAACAAACTGACATAGATATATAGATTTAAACAGAATAATAGATAAATAGATAGATATATATGAATAGATCAAAATAGATATGAACAGATTGAGATAGATAGATAGATAGATAGATAGATAGATAGATATGAACGTACTGGTGGGAATAGAAACTACTTGTGGGGATAGATAGATAGATAGATAGATAGATAGATAGATAGATACGAACAAACTGACATAGATAGATATATAGATTTAAACAGAATAATAGATAAATAGATATATATGAACAAATTAAAATAGATAGATATGAACAGATTGAGATAGATAGATAGATAGATAGATAGATAGATAGATAGATAGATAGATAGATAATATACAGTCTGAGATAGATATATAGATATGAATAGGGTTAGATAGATAGATATGAACAGATTGAGATAGATAGATAGATAGATAGATAGATAGATAGATAGATAGATAGATAATATACAGTCTGAGATAGATATATAGATATGAATAGGGTTAGATAGATAGATAGATAGATAGATAGATAGATATGAACAGATTGAGATAGATAGATAGATAGATAGATAGATAATATACAGTCTGAGATAGATATATAGATATGAATAGGGTTAGATAGATAGATAGATAGATAGATAGATAGATAGATAGATAGATAGATATGAACAGATTGAGATAGATAGATAGATAATATACAGTCTGAGATAGATATATAGATATGAATAGGGTTAGATAGATAGATAGATAGATAGATAGATAGATAGATAGATAGATAGATAGATAGATATGAACAGATTGAGATAGATAGATAGATAGATAGATAATATACAGATAGATAGATATATATATATGAATAGGGTTAGATAGATAGATAGATAGATAGATAGATAGATAGATAGATAGATATGAACAGATAGATATAGATAGATAGATAGATAATATAAAGTCTGAGATAGATATATAGATATGAATAGGGTTAGATAGATAGATAGATAGATAGATAGATAGATAGATAGATATGAACAGATTGAGATAGATAGATAGATAGATAGATAATATACAGTCTGAGATAGATATATAGATATGAATAGGGTTAGATAGATAGATAGATAGATAGATAGATAGATAGATAGATATGAACAGACTGACATAGATAAATAGCTACACGAGATATAACCGTAAATGCTAACAGTTTCTCATCTTGCATTTCTCACTCGAGAAACTGCCTTCCGGCTTCATGCTTTCCAGCCAACTTTAATCTGCAAAAATTTAAATGCAATGTAAATCGCTATCTTCTGTCCTCCTCATTACTCTTTCCTCTCCCCGCTCATTATTAATGTTTCTGTTCCTAATTCTTCAGCACCCTGTAACCCCATGAGTCTTAGTGGCTTTACTGCCTTGCACGAGGTGATACCGATTAAAAAAGAAAAATATAGATATGAACAGATTGAGATAGATAGATATGATATAGATAGATACTGAAAAGTTCTCAACCGAACCAACTAACAAATAATTGATAACCGAACTTCAGGACGTTGCGAGTGTTGTTGAATTAGGAAATATGCCCTTTATTCCTGCTAGAAGAACCGACTACAAGAAAATGTCGGATTCAAATTGAGTCCAACTGAAGATGTAAAGAAAACAAACAAGACCGATATATATATATATGTCAACAAAAATATGTATTAAACAACAAATTTACAAGTGACAAAGACATTAACATTTGTGTTTGTGTGTGAACGTAAAGAGTTTGTATTTTGGTGAATGCTCGTACGTACGTGTATGTGTTTCATAGCGTTTTCCTACAAGTGAAATCGGCTGAAATGCAAAGTCAAAAAGAGAACGAGGCAAAAAGTTGCCCAGTATTTATAGTGTAGAGAGAACGCCCCTAGTGAACAATTAGGGAATTAAGGAGGAGATAACTCCGACAAACTGATATTTTTGCCACATTTAAAGGTTGTGGTGGGTTTTATTGCTAACATTATTTTGTTTAGTTGTAAATAGATTTGTATTCATATTGTAAACACTCATTGGGGCTAGTTTTTAAATTGTTGTTTTATTCCCCTCCCCAGACAATGGTTTTTAGTTAGGACTTTCCTGAAGACCTTGAGGTATTATGGTGAAAGTAGTAAGAAAAGTAAGATTGTGTTGTTTTGGTGTAAGGAATATTGTTGTATGTTTGAGTCAGTTTCTGTGGTTAGCTAAGTTTAAAGTTAAGACAGAACAAGACCGTCCTTTTACCAATTCCCAATTTTGGCCTTGTGTCACAATTTGTAAATAAATTACAAATAAATATTACTCTATATTAATTGTGTGATATAGACTCGTCCATTCACTTTGAGTCGGCCGTCCGCCAGATAAGAACTGCGGTCAGATGGTGTGTTGCGCGCAT